TGGGATGAACCCCACTTGGTCATGATGTATAATCTTTTTTATGTGTTGTTGGATTCTATTTGCTAAAATTTTGGTGAGGATTTTGGCGTCTATGTTCATCAGTGATATTGGCCTATAATTCTCTTTTTTTGTAGTTAGACTGTCCCTATTCTTAATCACGCAGCACACGTTTTTGTACTTACCTGCCTGCCTCTGACAAGTGGCATCTCAGTTACATGAGGAGTTACTAGGATGAACTGTGGCTTGATTGTTACTACAGGTTTTATGTGCTTATCCCTGCTGTGTGCCGAGACCCTATTCGTTTTGGCCGCTCCCATCCTGACTTATAATTCTGTCACTAGGGGACCACAGCCCTTGCCCCTTCTGCCCCTTCGCTTCTTGGGGTTTGTTAATCCTACTGAGAAGACTTCTTCACTAGGTTGGGAGACATGTTGCCTAGGACTGAGCCTGTCTGCCCCGTCCCCTGCCCTCCTTCCCTCAGGAGACCAGCCCTCCCTCCCTCCCCTGCCTGCCTGCCTGCAGCCCGGGCCCAGTACCCCTGGTGTGGGGATGGGGAGGAGCTGGGGGCGGGAGTGGTGTGTGTTGGGGGTGGGCCTGGGTCCGATGAGGCCCCTCTTCCTCAAGAGCATCTCCGCCTCCTCTTCTGTCCCCCTGTCCTATGTCTGGCATCCCTCTGCTCCTCACCCCAGCCTTCTGACCCTGCTCTGGACCCACACGCTCACGGTGCTGTCAGAGGTGGCTGCCTCCCAGCGGAGCTGCCCCCTGGCCTCTAGCAGGCTGAAGATTGCACTACAGGTAATAACACAGTGACAACAATGACAACCCTGGTGGGAGAGTGCCTGGGGTCACCTCTGATGTCTTACCCTCTAGAACCTGGAGATCTCCTTCTACGCTGAGGGCTGTGGCCTGCTGCCCGAGGCCCTGCACACGGCCACCTTCCAGGTAGGGGCCTTTTGGTGAGCTGGTGGCATGGAGAACCTGCTTTCCTGTGCTCACCTGTGTCAGAGACCAGCTATATCATTTATAGAGCCCAGCACAAATTGAAAATGTGGGCCCCTTTAAAAAATAATAATTGAAAAAGTTAAGATGGCAACAGCAGAGCATTAAACCATTTGTTTCTTCTGAACACGGTGGGCAGGGGTGGGGAGAGGGGAGGGCGGGGGCGGCTGTGAGACATCTGTGAAGCGCACCCTGTCCGTGCAGGCAGTCCTGCCTTTGGTCCCACAGAGCCCAGTGCTTTCCCCAGCAAATGGACGTCTCCCCCCTTGGTTGCCAGCTTCTGAAGGGCAGCACTGGGCTGTGGCTGAGTGTGTCAGTTCTGGTGACCCCTCAGCTGTGCCCCATCCCCAGGCTCTGCAGAGGGACCTGGAGCTGCAGGCGGCCTCCAGCCGGGAGCTCATCCAGAAGTACTTCTGCAGCCGCATCCAGCAGCAGGTGAGGCTCCCTCAGCCACGCCGCGCTCACTGCACCCAGAGCCCCGCCCGCCCACTCTGCCCCAGCTGACGCTGCCCCTGCGCCCCACCCCCAGGCAGAAACCACCTCAGAGGAGCTTGGGGCCATCACGGTCAAGGCCTCCTACCGTGCCTCTGAGCAGAAGCTGCGTGTGGAGCTGCTCAGTGCCTCCAGCCTGCTGCCCCTGGACTCCAACGGTGAGTGGAGGCTGCCCTCTTCTGGTCCCGTGAGTCCTTTCTAGCAGAGGCACTGGGCGCTTCCTCGGGGTTACTGGGAGGGGCTGGTGCTGCCAAGCGGGGCGCAGTTGCAGGGAGTGGCAACTGGATATCCTTAGCCAAGGCCCCTCGCCGGCCATTTGCCAGGCTCCAGCGACCCCTTTGTCCAGCTGACCTTGGAGCCCAGGCATGAGTTTCCTGAGCTGGCCCCCCGGGAGACGCAAAAGCACAAGAAGGACCTTCACCCACTGTTCGATGAGACCTTTGAATTGTGAGTGGTCCCCATGCTCGCCGCTCTTCCCCCACCCTGGACCCGCCGCTCGTCCTCCCTTTTGGGGCCAAGGGGCTCCCCCGAGATGACTGGGTTCCAGGGAGGGGGCCCTTGGGACAAGAGTTTGTTGGCACAGGCCTCAAACCTGCTCCCTTGCGGGACTGTTGTTGGGGGAAGACTCTTCCCACATGTTTGACTGAGAGGCTTCCTGGCCCTGAGGTCCTCTGTTCCCCAAGACAGACAGGCCCGGGTACACAGGGCCCCCTGGTTTAAAGCATCAGCCCACAGTCACAGCAGGCATCATAGCATGTGGCCCAGATACACCAGGCTGAGTGAGAGCTGACTTTGCAAACCTAATCCCACCTGTCTGTGGCCCTTCTCCCAGCCCTGGCCTGTCCTCAAGAACCAGGGGTGAGCCCGTGTGAGGGCAGGTGGCAGTGGCAGTGTGTGGGGCAGGCAGCTGAGCCCAACTCTGTCCCCTGCCCAGCCTGGTGCCTGTGGAGCCATGCCAGAAGGACGGGGCGTGCCTCATGCTCACGGTGCTGGACCATGACACCCTGGGGGCCGACGACCTGGAAGGGGAGGCCTTCCTGCCGCTGCAGGCGGTGCCGGGCCTGACGGGGACTGAGGAGCCTGGTGAGGTGCCTCAGACCCGCCTGCCCCTCACCTATCCTGCACCCAACGGTAGGCCTGGGCCCTAGGGCAGGGCAGAGGCTGTGAGGCTTGGCAGGGGGGTGCCTGACCCAGCACTGGGGATGCAGGAGAGAGGCAGCCTGTGAAGGCTCAGGGACCCCCAGGGAGCTGAAGTTGGGGTCAGAGGAAAGCCTCCTTGGAGGTGGAACCTGTGGCTTGTGTTGCATCTGATCGAGGGACCAGGGATATGTAAGCCAGGCCAAGTGTATGTGAATGTGCCTCTCCCTGTTCGGGGAAGGTCACCAAGTTTTCCTGGGGAGAGGGGCCATCTCTCTGCCCGGGGGTGCATCTGTACAGAGCACTCCCCAAGCTTGGTGTGAGGTGTACGTCTGTCTTGTGTTTGAGCACTGATGTCGGGTCAGTCCTAAACCCTTGACACTTAGAACTCTTTCAGTCCTCACAACCCCTCAGTGGGGCAAGCAGTGGTGTTCTAATCTACAGATGAGTAAACTGAGGCACAAAGTGGTTAACTAGCTAGGCTAAGGTTCTCATATGAAAAGGCAATAATCCTAACTTGAGCTGCATCTCAGCCTCTTGCTCTGCAGCTGGGTCCAAGTGCCTGGGACCAGCGCGGCTGCGCCGGGGGTGGCGAGCCTGTCTTGTCTGTCAGGCTGTCTTGTGAGCTTGGCTGGTGTGGGTCCGTTGCTAGTTTCTGGAGAATGGGACAATGCTGTAGCTCTTGCCACTCCGCAGGCACTGCCTCTTCCCCTCCCTGACCCCCCAAATGCCTCTCTTCGCAGGGGACCCAATCCTGCAGCTGCTGGAGAGCCGGAGGGGCGACCGCGAGGCCCAGGCGCTGGTGAGGCTGCGACGGCAGCGCGCCAAGCAGGCCTCCCAGCACGCCCTGCGGCCAGGGCCGTAGCAGTGGAGGTTGGGCCCCAGTAGGGACGGGCTTTCCTGGGAAGCCTGGGTTCTCCCCATCCCAGTGTTGCCCTCCTGTCTGGTCTAACACTCTGTAAGGGCCCTGAAGTCTGAGGAGCCCCAGCATATGGGGCTCCTGTTGCCAGAATTGGGGTCCACTGTGATGGGGCCCCATTCGCAGTATTTATGCTCCCCCCACCTCAGCCCTGGCCTCAGCATTCTCTGCCAAATCCAGCCTCGGGGGAAGGGAGACAGCTGTCTGCACGCCTTGCCCCTGCTACCTTTTAGGGAAAAGCTGCTTTAGCAGAGCAGGGTCTCAGCCCTCCGTCTTCTGGCAGGACTAGTCCAGCCACTGGGGCTGGGGGCCAGGCTCCTTGGGCCTGTTCTTCAGCAACCATAATCAAGGAAGCTGGGGTCCTCTCCTGCGGGGGCTGCCAGCACCCGCCTGGGCTAAGGAGCCTAGAGCCAGGGGCCTTCTAGCTGTGAAGGGAGTGAGAACTGGTGAGCAGTGGGGCTGGAAGCTGGCACAGAAGGGCGAAAACACGAAGGACAGTTTGGCGAGCTGTGTCTGCTGAGGACACCTCCTTGGGACAGTCCTTGCCACCTAGAAACTTTCTTAGCAAAAATAAAAAATAAATAATCCATTGTCCTGCTAGAAAACATACTGTTGGACTGCAGTGGGGCCCAGGTTACGGTCAGGCCGTGCAAACCTTCACCTCAGCGTTCAGGAGACCTTGCGCTGCCCTGACCCTGGGGCCTGGCCCACCCCAGCTCCCCTACGTTACAGAGCAGGGAGGTAACTGATGCGGCAGCAAGGGCTGGGGCAACTGGCATCACTGGTATTTTGGCCAAAAGCTTCGGACAAAACCCTACCAGATACATCAGGTTCTGTGGTCACTGCCCAGCACAGGAGCCTGGCACTCTCATGGGAGCACTGTGAGCTGGGGGCCTCCCAGGGGTGCAGGCTGAAGCCAAGCAGCTGCTCTTGACAGCAGGGCTTAGATGAATGGGGCCCCAGACCTGCCTGGGGTAGAGGGAGGGCCCACATGTTGGGAGTAGGAGCCTGAGGCTCAGCTGTCTGTCAAGTTGTGTGACCTTGGTTGAGTCACTAAAGCTCTGAGCCTGCACAGGCTGGTGTGGGAGGTGAGATAAGACCATCGTTTCAGCTCTGCTCCTCTGAGACCCATACAGAGAGCCCACTAGAGTGTGTGTTCACACCCACCTAACAGGCCAGCTAAGAATAAGGGAAGGGAGGGGGCAGGCCCACTTTTCTTTAAATGCTTTTGTGAGAAGGCAGTCTGCTCCCCTGAGAAACTACTTGGGGTCTTGTTGTCTCTTGGAAAACAAGTAAAAACCAGTTGCATCTGACAATGGAGCCCTGAAGAATCCTAGGGCCCGGGAGGCCCGTGTCCGAGAACACTCAGCTCTGTCTAGGAGCCTGGAACAGCCTTTGGGCTTGGATGGGCCCAGGGAGCCTCAAGGCCTCTTCAGCTACGTAGCCCCCGCCAGGTGGGGGATGAGCTGCTTCCATGGCTGAAACCTGGGCTGGGACAGCTGAGCTGGGAGCCGGCCCACCTCATTGTTCAAGGCCCTCATTTGGAGCCCCACTCTCCCTCACCCCCATGTAAACAAGCTACTACTGCAAGTTCGTATTTTATTTCCAATACGTTTGGAGCTTTGATTTTTGCATTTTTGTAAAAAAGTTTTCACTTAATTCATTGAAAGCCCTTTCGTGCTGAGCCCAAGGGGGCACCTGGGCCGGGCTAGACCCTTTACAGCCCTCTTGCTCCCACCCCAGACCCCCAGTGCTGGGAGCAGGGTGGCTTCCCTCTGCCCTCCCGCCCCCATTGCATCTCTCTGTACAGAACAATTTTTAAAATGGAAGCTAAGACACAATATACACTGGACAGGCACGCACACACATGCACACGGGCGTCCGCTCCACACAGGGGCAGGACGTCAGCTGCACTCAGAGAGCACCAAGGAATGCATATGGAGCCCCTCCTGGCGAGGAGGGCAGAGCCTGAGCCCCGCCTTGGTCCTCACAGTCCGCAGCTCCTCCCACCTATTGCCCTGCTAGCTGCCAGAGGGAGGGGGGACAGCACGGAAGGCCGTGCAGGAGGGGGACAGCTGAGGGCAGCTGGGGATGATGGATAGGGCAGTGCCAGCCTGGTAGGTGGCCCTCGGGCCAGGGAGGCTGCTCTGGGAGCCCAGAGCGGGGTGGGGGAGGACTGGTGGACCCCCGGCCTCAGGAACCTGAGGGGTAGAACACCTGGGCCTTGCCCCTCTAGGAGCTTCAAGGGCCCAGGGTCGGGAGTGGGGCTGGCCCCACAACTTTGGCCTGCCAGCCCCAGACTAAATAGACATTTGGTAAAACGAGGAGCTAGGCTGGCTTCAACCCCCAGCATACCCCCTCAAGCCTCACAGCTGGGAACCAGTTCTGCCCCCAGACCCTCCACTCTCCTGGCTCTCGCCCTGGCCTGGGGAGGTGGGGTGACAGGGCCCGCCCTGAAGGCTTGTCCCCTCCCCTCAGCCCCTTCTAGCTTCCACCCTTCCCTGCTCAGGCCCCAGGAAGAAGTTAAAAATAGTTAGTTCTTACATAAAAAAAGAGACAGAAACAGATTCCCTGCCAAAAGGCCGGTGGGAGAAGAGGGGACTTTGTCTCTGCAGTGGGAAAGGTAGGGAGCGGGCAGGGGGAGGACTGCAAAATAGTTTTTTCTTTTAAAAAGTGCTTGGTAAGTCTGTTTTAAAGTGTGTGTCTATATCTATGTACAGATATACACACAGACACTGTTCACACACTGGCTGCCCACGCATACTTGCACACATACAGAAATGTATACATATACATAATCATATACATATACATACATACATACATATATATATACTTTAAAAAGTCCTAGGTGAGAAGATCTGAGCCAGGCCGGGGCCAGGCCTACAGGGTCACGACTGGAGGGCATGGGCCCGGCCTGGCTGGCAGACGGGGCACTCACTGCCCTCGGCACAGAGCTCACACAGCACGGCGTGTTGGCACGGCAGCACAGCTCGGTTCTGCTCCTGACACTTAAGGCATTTCACCGACTGCATGTGGAACACGGCCTGGGGGAGAGGGACAGCATGGTCACTGGTCTGGCCCCTTGTCGGGCCAGAGGTTTCCCCAACTCTCACTTGAGCCCCCTTGGGATGAGGAAACTGGGGCACAGAGCTCAACCATGTGCTCACAGGCCTCAGCTGACAAGAACAGGGTTAGAGGTCAGGCTGATCATCTCAAGGCTTCTAATTTCCACTTGCAGCTGCAAGGCCGAGTGTGGGGGACTTGGAGTCCGGGCACGGGGGAGGGGCAGGGCCAGGGCTGCTCTGCAGCTCCCACCTGGATGGGCTCGTCCTCGCACAGAGGCTTCAGTTTCTTGTCTCGTTTGATCCTGTAGTGACCCTAGGTCCCCAAACGAGAACTATGGCGTCTGGAAGGACACTGACGTGCCCCAGGTGACATGGTTACGTGTGGGGCCTGGCTGCCAAATGCCCAGTGAAGGGAAGAATGCTCTTCCCTCTGTGCCATGCTCCCCTGGGGACCCAGCAGGGTACTGAGGAATGCATACAGTAGCCCTGGGGACCTAACCATTCTGGAATGTCTGCTGATGTGCACAGAGCTCACAGGAGAAGCGGTCAGGATGCAATTTAGGGCCCAGGTGTAATAATACAGCTCAGGTCAGTGCCTGCCCTCCAAAGTGCCAGGCGTGGGCCCCGGCACCTGCCTACCTCCAACCTTCCCACTTCCCAGTGAGTGACATTCTCTTCCCAGCTCCCCTCCACCAGGCCAGCATTTTGTGTGAGCCCAGCTGCTGAAGAAGGAGGGTGGCCATCCCTGGAGCAGCGGGGACATATCTGAGTCCAAGCACTAGCTGAGGCCACCGTACATCTCCACCCTGTGCTCCCCCGTCCTCCGAGGCTGACCTTGTCCACTTGCTCTAAGTGAGCCCGCAGCTGCTTCTGGAGGGAGTAGAGGGTGGAAAGCGAGAGGGCCTCCAGGTTGGAGAAAGTGGGTAGGGCCTGTGGGTCGGGGCCCGAGTGCAGCCGCTCCAGCTCCTCCTGTAGTTTCTTCACCTGCACCTCCAGTGCATCCCGCTGTTCCCGGGCCAACTCGCACTCAGCGCCTGCTGCGCTGGCCCGCTCCCCGGCCTCCTCTGCCTCCTTCTTCCAGGCATCACAAGCCTGTGGGCCCAATACGCAGCACCTTGTCACGATGGCCCCCTGCCCTTGCCCCCCTGCCCTGAGAGTGCATCTCTCAGAGCCTGTGTGGGCCGCTGTGGCTGCAGGGCCTGCTGGGGAGCTGGGTCAGGTGCCTGGGGAGGGGGGCAAGGAGGAGGCTGATGCTGCCTGCAGAGAAGAGAGGTTTCAGGACCTGCGAGAGACCCTCTGTGGGCAGGGAAGGGGGCTGAGCCCAGCACAGCATAGGTGAATGAGGCACCTCCAGGGGCAGCCAGGCTGTAGCTGGACATAGGGGCCATCTCAAAACCTAGAAACCCTGGACCTAGAGCCCTGGAGAGTCAGGGCTTCTGGGGAGAAGCAAGTGGTGCTGTGGGGCCAGACCAAATAAGCAGCTCGCAGAGGGAGTTCCAGGCCTGGGACACCAGCCACCCCAGGGTCCTGACGGGTAAGACAAGTCTTTTCACAGGGGGAGAGAGAACAAAACTGAGTTTCTGTTCTGTTCTCCAAGACCCCTGACCTCCCCCAGCCCCTGCACCCACTCTGTGTAAGATGGGCTTGGGCAAGATGCTGCCAGGCCCTGGGGAAGGTGGGTGGGAGCAGCCCAGTACCTGCTTCGCCTGCTTCCAGGATTCCTCCCACTGCTTGATGGTGCTGTTGGCTTCATCCAGCTCTTGCCGAAGCCGGGCCAGCTCGGCAGCCCCCGGCCCTGACAGGAAGGCAGGGGAAGTGCCCGGGGAGAAGCTTCCAGAGGCAAAATGCTCCCAGATGCTGCTGTTCATCCCGTTCAGACCTGTCCCAGGAAGGGGAGGACCATCAGAGGTCTGAAGGAAGGGCTTTGGGCCCAGCCCTGCCTGGGGGCTTAAGGGAGCTCGCTGTGCAAAGCTCCAGCAATGTCAGGCTGGGGAATTTCACAGGGATGTGTAGGCATCACCTGTTACTCATCAGCTGCCATTTAACTCCTGAGTCTCAGCATCCCCATCTGTAAAGTGGGGTTCCCATCATTTGCCTCACAAGGGACCTGCGAAGTGCTGCAGGGAGAGTAGTCTGTGGATCTGGCAATTTGTGATCACAACTTCACTTTAAGGCTAGAGAAAGGGGAACCTTATTGCACCCTGATGTGAAGCCCAGGAGGTGATTCAGGGGAAGAAATGAGTCAGAGCCTCAAGGAGCCCTAGGTCCATTCCCCCTTGTTTTACAATGAGGAAACTGAGAGAAAACATGTTGCCAAGAATCACTCAAACAGTAAGTGGCAGAGCCAATACAGTTACGGCGTCTGACTGCAAAGGCCTGCTCCCTGCAGTAAGCTAAGGTGCATGGCTGCCCCCAACCGATGTTTACCTACACCATGTGCCCCTGCTCCGTGGCCCCCTGGGTGGCCCGTCTTGTGAGGGAGACCCGTATCCATCCACCTCTGGCCTCATTCTGCTCACAC